CACCTGAACTTTATCTAACGTTTACAAAAAAATATCCATCGATATTAGTTAAAGAGAACTCAGTCTGAAAGTCTGGCCCTCGTCTGAAAGTCAAGCTAACATCCAGGAAACAAAATTCTCCTCGCATTTTGACTCTTTAAGATTCGCATCCGGTCAACAATCTAACCTCTCCATCTCGTTTATTTTGCAGAGCGCGGCGCAGCAGAATCGAAAGGCTGACGGTATCCAGACTCTCGTTCGGAAGGTTCGAAGACTCGTGAAGGAGCGAACGAATCGGACGTGTGTCGGCGAATCGGTGTGTCGGTGACTTAGATAAGAAGACGTTCGTCAAAACGTCGACGCTCGCGGGCTCTCGGTCGAATCTCGCGATTCGCGCACGAAATTTCCAGTTTCCGGTGCGTCTTGCGGTCGGGAGGAACTCTGGACGAGAGGAGATGTCCCGAAAGTGGTTCCACAGAGGAGACGACACGTTCGAGCCGCCAGACATTCGAAGATAGCGAGTCGAGGCCGCGGGGAGCTCGAACCTCCAGCGTCGGGGCCGATTCCTCTTCGGTCGGGGATGAGGATTCGCGGTTCAGGGCGCGACGGAACGCCGGCAGGATCAAGCAGAGCTTGAGCGACCGCGTGCAATCGTCGGCGTGCAACGACAGGCCTAGGTTCAAGCTCACTTTCCAGGGAGAGAAGAAGCCTAGGAGGAAATCCGAAGACGAGGAGTATCCTGATACTTTCGCAGAGAGAGGTGGAACGTTCACCGATGACAGAAAGGAACGTCTCGACGCTTCCCGTTGCAAAGATATTGGAGAGGAAGTTCCGACTCACGGTAAACTGCACAAGAGCGACTCGTTCCTTAGGAGGCTCGTGAGAAACTCGAAGGACAATATTACCGAAGGCTGCGAAAGATTAGTCAGGAATATTCAAAAGAGTCCCCTTTTGCGGAAGAAGTTCCAATTCACGGACGATAAACCAGTACCACCAGTCCGTAGAAAGAAGAATAAACAACGACCTGTGCAGGCTGATTCTATCTATGAACAATCCTCCACGAGTGTCAATCCCGAGGGATCCAATAATAACCGCGTTTCCGTTGTTTTTCCAAATGCCGAGCTCGTGGAGGATGACTTTCTGCTAGTTCACAAGACTTCTCCGACTGATCAAGGCACCAGCCACTCGTTGGCCAGTAAAATCTCTTCGACGCGTCGCATTGAGAACGAAGGCTCGTCTGAAAGCGTCTCGGTGGAAGACGTCGAGGATCTGATTCGAACGGAGGACAACCTACGGCTGCTGGAACAACGCGTTTTGATTCGAAGACGTTTGGAAAAGTCCACGAAGCTGCTGCGAGCTGTTCAACCTGCGAGCCAGCAGAGATCCAGAAGCGAGGAGAGCCTCGTGCACGCGATAGAACAGGTTCATCACAGGTTTCGCGTGAGATTCCCCATCTCCGTGGACTCGGCAGCGGTCGATTGCTCGCCTGTCGCTCACCGAAGATACGTCGGGTCAGTTTGCAATCGCGGCGAGCAGTCAAGGTCGGCGGAGTGGCGGGACAAGGTAGAGCGAACGTGGTGGAAAGCGAAGCGGTCGCCTCCGCCGGACGACTGGCAAGTTCAGAGGTCGAGCGGCGATAACGCGCACGAGTCAACTGATAACCGAGTGAAACCGGCAAGGAAGTTGCAAATACGAGACGGCGGAGTGCACGCGCGGCTCACGTCGCTGGTAAAATGCAAACTTGCGAATTTCGCGGACAGCGGTGGGGACGAGGAGGCAACCAGAAACCGCGAGCCTACGGAAGAGCAAAGTAAACAGCGGCTAGTTGCCAACAGGCTGGACGAGAACACGACTCGTCACCCTTCGACGCCTGCCGACCAGCCGTTGCACGGCTCACGTGTCTCCTCCGACCTCGCGCTCGAGTCCCGCTCGGTGAGCGATGCTCTGGCTGACTCGAGCTTCGTGACGATTCGCGTGAACCTCGCTGGCTTGGCATCCGCTGACGGAAGAGGCGACGATGAGGAGATTCTGAAGCCCGGCTCGGTGATCACGACCGATCGAGACGTCAGGAAGAATCAGGGAAAGAGTCAGAGAAGATTAGCGAGCAAGAGGAAGAAGGTGGTTAGCTCTGGTAAAGAGTGCAAGGCCCGAGAACCGAGTGCTTGGAACGACTGGAAGATGAAATTCACCGTCAGGATGATTCGCATCCGCGACAAGCTGATGCTCGGCCTCAGTGCCTTTGCGATATTGTTCACGATCCTGTTGGTGATGGACCTGCAGATGGATCTTGGCTACAGCGGCCATCATCTGGTGCCTAGTCACGGACGTGTTCGAATCGGCGACGATCCGAACACCGACACGATTTACAATAACTTTCGAAGGAGGTTCCTCCAACGGATGAACGCAAGCAAGGAACAGACCAGCGGAGATGTGTCCGGCACAACGCAGAATAGTGGGAAAGACAGCGGGAACGAAGCTAGGGAGTCGAGGACCGAGAAAACGGAGGTGCACGACAGTTTCTCGGATTTAGTGGATCTCGTGGTGAAAGGTTATGGTGTTAGTGTTTACGAAGGAGTGGCTAGGATCAGCGGCGAGGACCATACGTACAATCCTACTCTTGGCGAGTTGAAGAAAATCAGCCTAAAGTGAGTAGATTTATTTTCTTACCTACTTATTATTTATTTTTCTCCGATTGTTCTCATCAAATTCGGACGTGCGATCTCAAATGAATGTTACACTTCAATCGATATTATTACAATTAAGTAGCTTTCAAATACTTGGATTTTACTATCTATGTTTGCAATCTATGATTTTTTTTTTTTATAAACGAAATATTATAAACGGTGATTATGTGAACTTGAATTCAATCATTTTACTACAAAGTTCACACACAATGATAATATCGTGGGAGAGTTTCCACGTGCGATTTTGCAACTTTCGACTTTGAAAATTGAAGATTAAAACGAGGATCGCGAAGATCTGACAAAAAATTCAAAATGATCTCCTTTTTGCAATCTATGCGTTTTACGAATAAAATGTTCGAGGAAAAGAAAGACAGTTGGATTCCATTCAATTCTATTTTTCGCAAGACTTTCAGTTTCATTACGTAGATTAGTGTTTGGTACAATTATTTGTATCTTACAAATCTTCTTGGAAGAAGAGATTATTAAACAATCTAAAATTACAAGATAAATGCTAAAACAAAAAAAAGAAAATAATACTTATATAATCGTTATTTTTTTGCGTATTTGAATTTATGGAGTTGATCAGCGTAGCTTCTGAACTTTTTGCACACTTCGGATACTTTATCTGTATATTTTTCTGGCTACTTTCAAGAAGTAAATGTTTATACTCAATTAAATGACAGTTCGTGCTTTTCCGTCGCATTTGAGGTCCTTCTTTTATATTTATGTTGCCGCGTAATTCAAAGAACTTTATCTCGCAAATTTAAATCCAAATTATTCTGAAATCAAATTTGCATACGGTCAGCTAAATTTCTATGCATTTATGTTAGATTTAGAGATGCATTAAATGCAGAATTGCATGAAATATATATGCAAGATATATAAAATATCAAAAGTGTAATGATTAATAATTTAATGATCAATATCTAATAATTTAATACGTGAAACAAATTTCAACGTTCAACATCCGTAGTCTAGTAATA